TGTGTACTCAGGTGAATAATATGTTTGCGATGTTACTCTGAGTGCATATCCACACCGGGCGAGCTTGAAAAATATGCCCGGCCACGGTGAACACATTGGTATTGAAGGAACTAGATACTGTTCCGAAATATCACTTACTCGAACCGTCCTGACCGCGTAACTCAGTTGGAAGAGCATTGGGCTAGTATTCCAAAGGTCGTAGGTTCGAATCCCACCGTGGCCAGGCATATTTTTCAAGCTCGCCCGGTGTGGATATGCACTCAGAGTAACATCGCAAACATACTAATCCGTATTGTTTCAGGTAATTAGGCCATTGTTCCCTATTCCCTTGTCAACGGAGAGCGACACGAAAACGCTAGGAAAACGGATTAGTGTGGACGTAGCCTAAAAGCAATAAGTGGTTTTGATACATTGTAACACTGTATTAGAAATTGAAATAACCTGACGTCATGTACTTATGTGACGTCACTTGTATATAGCTAGCATTCCATTCATATTAAATTTAGTATTATTATAACCACTCAACGAGCGTACCTCGTATTATCATACTATAAGAATACAACATTGGCGACGAGGATCAAAATATATGTCAATGACACTTCGGCAATTGAAATCATCCCTCGGTGCTCACCAAGCTTACTGCCCATCGTTGTCAATGAAATTTCTGATTTTGCTTTTTCACGTGGGATGAAGTTAAACCCAAAGAAATGTAAGGAAATGGTTGCATCATTCCTTAAATATGACTTGCAGTGTATAGATTCCATATATATTTCTGGAACCCCGGTCGAAAGAGTTTGTTACAAGTTATTAGGCGTTATCCTCTCGCAAGATCTTACCTGGGACAGACACGTGGATTATATTCTCAAGAAAGCCAATTCCCGCCTTTATGCTTTGAGACAATTAAAGAAAGCTGGTTTAACTCAACATGATCTTCTTACAATTTATTGCTCTTTGGTTAGGTCTTGTATTGAATATGCATCACCTGTGTGGTCGGACTTAACCCAAAATTTAACAAATTTAATCGAGTCTGTTCAAAAACGAGCATTACGGATAATTATTCCCTCTCTTGCTTACGAAGATGCTTTGACGCGGTCCGGTCTAGAAACTTTAGCCGATCAAATGCTTGCCAGATGTTTGTTGAGAAAATGAAGTCTGACGATCAACCAAACTACCCTATTGCTAACATTCTGAGGCATAATATTCATAATGAACGTGAACATAGTTATAATTTAAAACACGAGGGACTAAAATCACTAAATAGAGCAAGAGCACGTACAGAACGTTTCTCTCAGTTTATTACATGCAAATATTATTGATGTTTTTAAGGCGGATTTCCAGTCCTCGCACAAAGCGCCTCGCAGCTGGCTGCGAGTACTCGCACCAATGTCATTCCGTTTCCACCACACGCCAATCTCGTAACTCATGGCATGCCCGTTCGCAGGCTAGGTAGTGACGGGAAGAGTTTATTTTGTACGTTGTTATTGCGAAGTCGACGAAAAAGACGTACCAAATACCTAAAACGGTTTTGGGTAAGACCAATATTCCAAACGAGAGCACAATTAAGTGAATTTTAATTATTGAAGTGAATTCAACTATTTATTATTATTATTATCTCCACATGCGCCATGGCCTCATCTTTACCACCATTTCCTCCGTTCAATGTTGAAGACGACACCACCGCGACTGGTCAACGCTGGATTAAATGGAAAAAACGCTTTGAAAATGTTCTTCTTGCCATGGATATCGATGATGAGACATGCAAACGCGCACTTCTTTTACACTATGCTGGCTCGCCACCATTTGATATATTCGAGACCTTAACGGATACCGGTGACGAGAAAGACTACAAGAAAGCGATGGACCGCCTAACCGAGCATTTTACGCCGCAACGCAACGTTGATTACGAAACATACCTCTTTCGTCAAGCTCGCCAACAACCAAATGAGATTCTCGATCAATTTACCACTCATCTGCGCCAACTGGCCTCAACTTGCGAATTTACCTCTGTTGAGGAAGAAATCAAATCTCGGTTGCACTATGGAAATATCTGAAAAACAAGCCTCTGGCATTGAATCTAAATCCATTTCTCCTGATAAAACTGAACTTTTAAACTATACTCGTATGTCTCAGCGTTCTCAATCCCGTCAATCGCCATCTGCTCCTTTCCCATGCACGTTCTCGAGAGTTCCCAAGCCCATCGTCTGCATGTGTACATTGCGGCTATCCCCATCCACAAGGTCAAGCCAGCTGTCCTGCGCGCGGTTCCCAGTGTCGTTCGTGCGGGAAAATGGACCATTTTGGCTGTTGTTGTCGATCTAAACCTATCAGACCAACGTTCGATGAAAGTAGCTCCCTTCGTAGCTCCCTCAATCGTAAAGTAGCTCCCTCAATCGCGTTTTCAACCACCCCGTCCTAACTCCTTTCCACGTCAACCTCCACGCGAGATTCGCAACGTTTAATACCGACACTCAACAATACCTTACCTCTGAGGATGAGTATCTTTTCATAGTAACTATTTCCCATGTCAGTGATTTAACCACCCCGAAGGCCAAAGCCGGTTATGATTGCTATCGAATCAGTTGATGGCCCAACTCCTTGGATGTCCCCTCTCGTTGTCGATTAGAATCGATTTATAAAAGTCTTGTGCAGCCCTACTTTGATTATTGTTCCCCCCTTTGGGACACTTGTGGTAAGTTGCTAAGAGACAAGTTGCAAAGATTTCAGTCTCGTGCAGCAAGAGTCCTAACGGGTGCTAATTATGATACTCGCTCAGCTGATCTTCTCAACATGCTTTCCTGGGGTACACTTGAAAATAGGCGGTCTGGTGCCAAGTCAGTATTAATGTATAAATACTTAACGACCACACTGCGCCAGGTCTCCGGGCGTCATTCGTGAGAAGAGAAATAGATCAAACTAATTATCATCTTCGAAACACAGCAACTGATCTAACAATTCCTAAACCGAAACGAGAATTTCTTAAAAAAAGTTTTAAATATAGCGGCGCTATGCTCTGGAATCAACTCCCAAACAAAGCAAAATTGGCCGAGCCGCCTCATTCGTTTAAATCAATTGTTGGACAGCGACATGCTTCCTAATTATTTGTATATAGTAACATGTACAGTATGTGTGTACTAATATTTAGTTTAAATTTTCCTTTTAATGATTTTTAAGATCTAAACACGCCCCCCATGGAAACCAGCCTAGAGTTGATGGGGCTAGCGTGTTCTTCTTTCTGTTAATTTTAAATAAAGTATTACCTACCTACCTACCTACCCTTTCCTACTTTGTTCCCGAAAGACCGATAAGAATCTACGTATATGCTGGAAAGAAAACAGAGAAATCGAGCAACGTTCCTGAAGGACTATGCGCTATTTTATGCCAGAAAGGTGACGATGGACAGTGGAAAATGTGTCAAGTAGCCAACCGTGCCCTAACTGACGTTGAGACGAGATACGGACAGACTGAATTAGAAGCAGCTGCGATCAAGTTTGCTTGTGCTGACGCCCTTTATAAATACTTGGTTGGAGCGCCAAAGTTTGAAATCTTCACGGATTGCAAGCCGCTTGTACATCTCTTCAACAATATAACTGCGTATCGAGCGACAAATTCTCGCCATTCAAGGTTTAGACTATGTGGTCAAATATCAGAAAGGAGCTGAGAACATCGCGGATTATGGATCAAGACACCTGTCGAGGAGACATGATGATGTTCCCATGGTGAAGTCCGTGAACGAGTTAGAAGAAGGATTACGAACTTTTGTCTCTGAAGACAACGAGTACCTTTCCAGAATGGCAAAAGACGACAATGATTACCAATTCCTAAAAGAAGTAATTCAAAGAAACCTCTGGAAGAAACATGGAAAAGATCCAAGAGTTTCAAGATTCCTCGGAGTAGCGTCCGACTTATCTGTTGTTGGAGAAATCATCCTGTGTAAGGACAAAGTAATTCCGCCTTTGAGCAGTCGAAGAAGATTTGTCGAGAAAGCACACAAGATTGGGCACTCGGGAGAGACCCGCACGCTGAAACTTCTTCAAGAAAAGATTTGGTTTCCTGGAATTGCTAAACTCTGTAAAGAAGCTGTACAGAATTGTCAAAGCTGTCAAGTCACTCATGATCGAACCTATGACGAGCCTCTTCAATCAACACCATTGCCACCAGGTCCTTGGCATACAATCTCTGTGGATTTCAAGGGACCATTCAAAGATGGAACTTACGCCCTGGTCCGATATGATCTTTACAGCCGTTATCCTGTTGTAAGCTACTGCAGATCTACAGCGTTCTCGTGTGTAAAACCGATCCTTGATTCGTGGTTATCAACATTTCGTACAGTGAAGGAGCTGAAATCAGATCGAGGACCTCCATTTAACGGACATGAATTCAGTGCATATGCTCGCGAGAGAGGATTCGTTCACAAACCGGTGAAACCCAGATATCCGAAAGGAAACGGTGAAGCTGAGAAATTCATGCAGAACGTGAAGAAGATGGAGAGAATTGCGAAACAAGAAAGGAAGAAATATCGCTGTCTCATTGAAGGGATGTTAAATGCTTACCGTGCCACACCGCATCCTGCTACAGGGAAAAGTCCATTCGAGCTCATGTTTGGGAGAAAAATGCGACTTGGAGTATTGCCAGAGATCTCAGAAACACCCGAACGTGATAACCACCCTAAAGTCAGACAAAACGATGCCTTGTATAAGTTGAAGTCGAAAAGATACCACGACAAGCGCAGAAATGTGAGAAAGTCCAGAATTGCTGTTGGAGACAAGATTCTCATGAAAAACAAACGGACAGATCCACTTAGCCCGATTCCTGGTAAAGTGATCAATATACGTGGAAACGCCGTGACAGCCCGATTTGATGACGGGAAAGTTTTTATGCGAGACAAGTCACATTTCAAGATTGTACCAGAGAGATCTTACGTCGAAGAGCGAGAAAGAGTACGAGGAGAACAAACGTTTCAAGACAGCATACTCAACCAGAGCAGAATCGATCAGAGTACGCGAGACGTCCTGCCAGACCAGGTTAATCGTGACGAAGCAGATCAATTGATGAATTCACACAAGAGCAGCACTAACGATCGGAAACAGCCGATTTACGTAACGCGCCAAGGTCGCGAGGTTTATCTGCCGGATCGATTCCAAAGTTGAGGAAAAATGGAATGTTGTGAGAATATTATGAACGTTTTATAATATTAAGAACTCATTAAGAACTCATTAAGAACTCATTCAGTTGGAACTTACTAAGTTATGTAGCTGATCATGCAGCGTATTATTAGTTAGATTATCTAGTATATTGTTATGTTAATAAAGTAAAAACCCCATAAAAATAGAACGCTATTTTAGACTTAGATTAATAATACCGTGTATGTAGTCGGTAAAGTACGTGTTAAAAATACATAAATACAATTTAGTGAAACCGATATTTGAGTTTATAACAGGAGGGATTGGTCAAACTCTGCCAATCGGTGAACTATAGAACACAAGCTAGAACTAAGATTATATGGCGATCGATTGTTGTAACATATTATAATAATGAGAGATTGAGAATGCACAAACAGGCCGGGGATGCATGGTGATCGCGATCTAATTAATGCTAAGCACTTAAGTGCTTAGCCATGATTTCATGATAATATATAATACTTGACAAAACCATACAACTCTCTAGCCTGTGTGTCAGTAACAGTGTAGTCAACTGGAACACAGGCTATAGTAACACAAAACGTACTACTGTGTACTTACTGTAATGTTAGATGTAACAAAATATTTTTTATATACAGTTCATAATATTGTTTGATTATAGCGTACTTGGATGATTAATTGCCTGCAGAATTATTGTTTAGCTATTTCGTTTTAGCGTATCTTATTCAGTTGACGCAACATCATTTAACCAACGAAAGTGCGCGATGTTTCGTACTCCGACTTTGACCGTTATTTACTGGTTGTTATAACTAAAAAAATTGGCCAAATCAACCAAAATATTATTGGTGAATATCCGTACCATTTGTATTATAGTTAAAACAACCTATATTTATTTGGTTGAAATATGCTCAATTTGACCGTTTAAATTTTAGTCATTTTAACTTTTGAATATAGGTTGGAATTACCTTTTTTAATTGGTCAAAATAACCATAAATCTTTAGTTCAGTTCAATCATCTAAATCTAAATCAAACTGCAATACCGTAGAAGGTAAACTACAAGGTCAACCATTTAGACGGTGTAAAACCAAAACGACGCTACCTATGTGTTTGGGAAATTTGCCTCTAATTGAGTTACCATCATCAAAAATGCAGAAAAATAAGTAAGCTTCCCAATAAGAAGAAGGTTTACTCGAAGCGATACAGGCATGGCTATTATGCAAAACGACAAATTAATACTCAATCCCAACGTGGCATAACTAAAACCACCGATCGGATTCCACTCGATGCTGTGAGTGAAATTCCCAAGCATCAAGGGAACCATCAGACATCACTCCATTCCGCTCACCTGACAAATTTTCGACGGCGCCGTTTAAATCATCGACCTCACCCAAATCACCCCCCCCCCCTTACCCAAACCTTCGATACGATCAAAATTACCGGTCCCATCAGAATCATCGACCTCATCAACATTTCCAGTCCTATCAAAATTTCCAGCCCAACCATCAACCACAACAAAATCAGAAAGATTGGTTGAATTACCTAGAATTTGTTCATGGGATGATAAGAAAAAAAACTTAGCTATTCCTGTTAGAATTACACAGAGACAAAATTACAACCACTGTAATTCTAATAATACTTCAAACATTAACTCAAAGAGACGAAGTAACTTGGTACCTATTAATTTAACATCCACAGGAAAGGTTCCTTCGAGAGAAAAAGAAAAAAGTTCCTTACCCTCTTTGTTCCTTTCTAATACAAGATCACTCGTTAATAAAATTGAGGATCTGGAAGTTGTCATTAACCAAAACGACGTGGATATAGTTTGTATTACAGAAACTTGGCTGACCAATAATATTTCCAACTCAGTAGTCGACATTAGTGATTACACGCTAGTACGGAAAGATCGAAGCGCTGATAAACGTGGTGGTGGTGTTTGTACGTACATCAAATCATCAATTGATTTCACAACAATTGACGAACTTAATGATTCCCCATTTGAATCTCTTTGGGTATACCTCCGTCCGAACCGACTCCCACGAGGTTTTTCTTGCCTAATTATCGGTATTATATACCACCCACCACAAGACGATGATGCTACTTTTACGGATCACCTAATTTCATCTTTGGATGCCGCTTTGAACAAATATCCTAATGCTGGAATTATGTTGGTTGGCGATTTTAATCGTTTAAATTACCGACATATTAGTAACCATTTTAACCTGCGACAAACCGTTAAAAATCCAACACGCGGTGCTGCAATCCTCGACCTAATTTTCACCAACCTGTTTCACCATTATAGCACTCCTCAAATTCTACCCGGAATCGGCTTAAGTGACCATAACTCCCTACTTATTCGTCCTTTAAGGAGAACTCACAAAACGAAAGTAGAATCAATTTTTAGAAGGAATGTAAAGCCAAGCATGAAGTCCTGTTTTGGAAGATGGTTAGCATCTACTGATTGGTCATTCCTTGAAACA